AATTTGCTTAACCTAAAGCTTCAGTAACCTTCAATGAGTAACTAACAAAATATTGATAATATCCGCTCGCATTACGAAGTAGATGTTTTCTCAATACCCGTACGGCACCAAATGATTGCAGCAACATTGCAAAAATATTTCATTACACGATTGCACAAACATTATAAAATGTTGTTGCAATATTGCAACAGCATTGCAGCAACGGTAAAATGTCCGCTTTCAGAAATATTGCTACGTTATGTTGCAGCAACGTTGCAGTATAATATATATGCAATATTGCTTGGATTATACACAAGTTGACATAATAGTCTTAACACACAAAGTAAAACCATTCTAGAATACATGGGTCTTTTATGAAAAATTTTTGAATGGTATTCTAACTTTTCATAAGAGATTCATGCGTTCTAGAATGGTTTTGCTTTGTGTGTTAAGACTATTCATTGATCTGTATACGTAATAGCATAAAATGTAGTTATTTTTTTGTAGTTTATTTTTAAGTTTTGTAGGTAATAAAAAAGGAATATACATATTTTATACATATATTATAAATATTTAAAATATTAATACATTACATTTTATATAATATATTATTATAAGTTAACTACATCTTTGGTTAACTATATCTTATTTGTATCTATATCTTTGGTTATTATTACATGAACAGAATAAATTTAATCTATAGAAAAAAAAGTATATATGTTTATACTACGCAGTTACAAAAATGTATATATATATGTAAATGACGTATTAAAAATCATATTTTTATGCATATTTTGCACATATATTAGCTATAAAACAAAATAATATAACTTTGATTGTTATCACATACGGAATCTTGAAAGAACTAACTAATCCATAAAAAAGTATATGTATGTGTACACTTCAGTTACAAAAATGTATATAAATGACAAATACATTTATATAATAACTTTTTTATACATATTCTGCGTAGTTTAGCTATAAAATAAAATTATATATCTTTAACTATTATCACATCCGCAGTCTAGGAAAAACAAATTAATTTTGAAAAAAATATGTGTGCACACATTTGACAGTTAAACATAAAAATTTATATGTCAATAATTACTTGTTAAAAAAAATAGGAAGATATAAATAATACAATGTTGTATTCTTATTTTTCTGAATCTCTTTCGTCTTTTTTTTCTCTTCGAATCCTTACACTTGCTTGAGCAAGCCATTTTGATGCATATTCAGCAATGTCGTTGTCTGTTATGTCCTTATGTGTCATACGAACAGTTTCTGCGATATATAAAAATATTATTCAATATATATTTTAAATATTAATTAAAGGAAAATGATATTAAATGTATTTAAATCAATTCAAAAAGATCTGGCCAAGAAATACGTGAATATACAGGATGTCAGAAAATTCCAAAAAGCAACCATGTGTAGGTAGAATACATCAACCTGTGCTAAAAATTTCAAACTATTTTCGAAACAACCACGTAAATCTTTTTTTATTAATATCAAAATTATATGTGATTGTTTGAAAAATGATAGGGCCTTTTGCTTAAGTTGATGTGTTCTACTTGCACAATACGACTTTGTTCAAAATTTTCAAATATTTTGTACTTCACATATTTTTTTATCAGATCTTTTTAAATCAATTTAAATAAAAGTAATATCAAAGCATACGAAAAAATACTTACGTATGATTATTTTTGAAAGTTTTAAATCTTTAAAACTTTCTTTATTTTTTCGTCCAGCCCAGCTAAACTCTTTGGCTAAATTATCTGATATTGCTGTTTTGAATATATTACGTATTGTTATAGATGCAGTGCCTCCACCAACACGTTTTAAAAAATGCAGCTGAAAGTAATAACCAATTTTTCAAATAACACAAATATGTATTAACAAATATAAATAGTGTAGGATGTCTATACAGGATAATATACGCCCATAATTTACACAACGCTTCCTCATAAAAAGTTGATTCCATAATCCTATATCATTTTCTGTATTATTTCTCACGTTAACAAAGTAATAATTTGATAAAAATACACAATCTGTCAGCCTTATATTTTAAACAAGCACACATATCTACGCTATGCGCCTTGTATAATGTGCGTAAGCACTTTATACTACTTCTCTTGCATACTAATACGAAAGCAACTTACAGACGTTTATTTAAAAAATGAAGTAAATTGAATGAATTGTATTCAATAATTACTACTTCATTAAGCAGTGCGGGAAACGATATAGAATTTTTGGATTTGATTTTTCATGATACATAGTGTAATGTGTAAAATAATAGATACAAGTTTGCAGACACTGTATATGTCGTACCACATCATCCTGAAATTTTTTTTCCTTCAACTGTTCTTCAAAAGTTGTCAAGTCACGAATTGTAAAAATGGGGAATGGAATATCGATTTCTTGAATTTCGCTAAATTCTTTAAAAGATTGGCCTTTCTCCTGCATTATATCCATTTTATTGTCAACATTATCCAATTTATACAATATCTTGTTTAATTTCCAGATAACATGCTTTTTAAACTCTAAAATCAATATACATTATTTAAAGCAGAAAGTGGATATTTTGAGTAATTAATATGATTAGGAAAATAATATTAACTTAATAACAGTTATAAGTCAGGTTTTTTGTATTACAATATTAATAGCTGTTACAATATTAATAAAATTATATATATCTTGTGCGACCGCACGCGTAGGTGCGAGGCAATACAATCGTGAGTTCGCGCGTCCGGATCGAGCAGAGTTTCGCGTCCCGATCGGAGATATAAGTAATTTACAGATGGTACAATAATCGTCTCCGCGGATG